TCTTCATGGACGTCATTAGGGTCTAACACAGAGATATAACGACGCACCTCTTGGCTCTCCAAACACTTGAATAATTTTGTCCCTTTACGCCGCTGTTTATTTCCACAATGACTAGCGTCTTACGACGCAGCCTAGCCACAAAAATTGAAGATAGTTATGAATGTTTTCCTGCTATAAAAAAAATTAATTAAAAACAAAACAAACAAATTGAAATTGATAAAAAGTTCATGGGCAACCGGCATTCAATGYGGTCGTCTTTTAGCTTTTTCGTATATGTAAAATCACTGGAAAAGTTGATCAATTTACAGAGTCTGTCTAGATTTACAGCAAATCATTCAACTTACAGACAAAATGTCYTTTTACAAACTTTGTAAATTGATTATACAAGGTATTTGCAATGCTTACTCCAGCGGCATTTACAGAATGTACATAAAAGTTACAAACTTTGTAAATTATTCCGTTTTATTTTTTATTTATTTTTATTTTTTCCGAGGAGATCCGATTACAAAAATTTCTCTATCTGTCCCACAGGTAGAAATAAGTTACACAATCAAAGAATTTGCGATAAGGATGAAAAAAATGTACGTGCGTTGCGTGACATGAAGTTGCGTGACGTGATCGATGACGCAATGTGTCTGTTGTTTTATAATGAAGTACCGGCGTATTGTCTTTTTTGTATAGTTTAMAACATGAGATTGTAATTCCYATACAACATGGCCGCTMATGTTGTAAACGACTTATAAAACTCCAACACTAATTAACATGAATTACAGTGAGATAAATGACGAAAAATGACAATTAAGGTAACTGCTGAGTTTAGTCGCTATTAAGCATGCGCAATTTAGTCCCTATTGCATGCGCAATTTACTGCAACACAGAACATTTTGAATAATTATCCATCCCACATGGAAAGCAAGCCTTCTGTTGCATAACCGAGCTCTGTTATCCGTATTTGATTGCTTCACGAAAACCTAGTGAAGATCTATATGCGCTACTAAAACTGAGACCTTTGCTAGTGTTGGGTTGTCTCAAGGTGGCGACCGTATTGTAAATCTTATACAACACTAATGTTGTATCACAGTGTTATATTAGATTTACAAGGTCAATCACCTGATTAAGTGGACAGCCCTTATTGGAGTAATAGCTCATGCATTATTAATAAGTTTTATAATGCTGGTTATTTTTACATTGCAAGCACCCAAAATGTCCTGAAAAGATTAAAAAATTAGTTCAYCTTGGTTACATTACGAT